TTAAAGGACCAATCAGTCATTGGGACTATGAAATAAGCACCCTGAAGCACAGATTCCAGGAGCTACATGCTGAGATTTTCCCAGAGCAGAACACCAAAAATCACAGCTGCTCTGGCAGTGCTCTCATGCTGATAGTTAGCAATCTTAGATGGCTATCAGTTTGGTAGTAGAAAAACCTGCATAAGGTACAGTTACCTGCATAAGGTACAGTTGACAACGAGGTGCCCAAAGAAATTAATTAATTAATTATATCCTGTTACACAGGATAATGATTCCTGGTAGTACATAGAAAATAAGAGATGGAGAAATAACTCTTAATTCATTTAATTCAACAGTGATGAGATAATAAAAAAGACACATACTCAAATTCCCTCCCTTTACTTCTCCCTTCATATACATACATGCATTTTAACAAATCATTTTGCTCGTATCATTCACATTTAAAATTGGTGTCCAGGAAAGGATCACAGTTCTCATATTTTTAAAAAACAAGCAAGTTCCTGAAAAGATGCCAGTAAAACCACTTTCCTGTACTGGTACATATGCAATGGTGACCTTTGCAGACAAACACCACCCTTTGGTTCCCAGCTTCATTCATCAGGTTCACACAAACAAGCACATAGCACCATGAAAGAGCAGAATATTCTACTAAGAGCCAAACAACTAACAGCAATGTATGTCCCTAGAAGACTGAAACCATCAATGAGCTGTCTTTTGACAAGATTAACTCTCAGCATGTTAAGTATGCCTATTATTCTTACCATAAAATTTGTGAAATCAACAGAAAAATGTCACCAGCAGAGATAGATGGAAAAGAGAAAGGTACCCTATTTTGAAAAACCTTAGCAAAGTCTGACACATCAGAGCCCATCAAAATGCCATACCTGTGTGCTGATGAGGCTCGAGGGCCTTTGTAGACTGTATCATAGACCATCCAATAGAAAAGAATTGATACCTACTAGGCTCAAGTTAAAAAAAGAATAGCACTGTGCAACACAGTGCCATCTTAAAAATGAGTAAGAAGGCACTTTTCTGGAAGAAAAGCATGGCCCATCAGTACGATGGCTGCTGGACTACAGTTTTCAGCTGCTCTGTAACACTTTGGTAAAGCATAGCCAAAGGAGCTGCCTAATGCTTGGTGCCCTTTCCAGCACACCCTTCTTTATGCCTTCTCCCACAACATATGCCCCTTTATTCTCTGCCTCTACATGCTCTAGATTCGGGGTTACCCAGGAACTCGAGGCGGGGAAGAGAAGGAACCCTTTCGCCTTATTGCTACCTGACTTTCAGGGACTACTTTTAAGGGATATTCTAAATGAAATCACAGAAATGCATCATTAGCCTTAAGGAAATAGCAAAAAAAAAAAAAAAAGGTAAGTAAGTACTAAGAATACCTATAGTTTTTTCTTTCACAGCAGTGCAGAAATCAGGGTGGAGAATCTCAGTATGTGCTCCCACCACTTCCTGTTTCTCAGTTCAGCAAAAGGGTATCTGGGCCAATCTAAGTCACAGCTCTTGAAGTGGATGGGTATTGTCATTGCTGACTAGCGGCTATGACTACCTCAAAAACTATGCCTTGACCCAGCAACAGTTTTACCTCCTATGAGTCACTAAGGACAGCACACAGCCAACTTGTTTTGTAGATAGACTTTGAGTTGAAAGCAAAAACCATTGCTTTACACTTGAAAACCCACAAGTTTACAATACCTCTGCTGTAAAATCATCTGAGTATCCAAACACTTTTGTGTTTCAATATTTCAGAAATATTGGTTAGTGACTTGTTTCAGTTTTAAATGCATGGAGTCCTGTTTGCACTGTTTTTATTCAACATCTTCTCTGCCAGTAACTGTTTTTACTTTGCATTATGCCTAAGGATTCTACTTAAGAACGCATTTGGAAATGCTCTTTGGTTCCTTAAAGCATCCTGGTATTTTTTTCTTTATTTTGCCTACTACTTTCAGTGTATGCTTTTAAAATAAGCCGTCTACTTAAAAACAGAAATTCTTTGTTGCTTGCCTGTGGGCGGTCAGTCAAGATTTTAAGAGGGAAAATAAGTTGGCAAGGATTGTGAAGAAAATTAAAGAAAGCATATATCAATGGGGACAGCATATTATACTTGCTGATGTTCCTCTCCTCCCACCAGATCCACCTGGGCCTCAAAACGTTCCTACATCTCCATATCAACTTCTTCAAAAAAACCCATCTTCCTTCTGTCTGGCACACTCTTCTCCATATGCTTTATCACGGTCATTCAGATGATTACAGTAAGACCCTCGCTCACCAGAACCATAGTTATATTACAGCATCAAGTACCTTCTTAGCCTCTCATCTCCTTGTAGGATTGCCACAACTCTTTTGTTGCATTTTAACACTGGGCTATGACAAGTATTTGCTCACAAAGTCCTAACAAGTACCTCTGCTCAGTTATGAAATTTCACAGCTATGTCTGCACTTTACCTTCCAAATCACATAGGAATCCAAAACTTCCTTCTGAGGCCATGAGTTCTAGCTAATTTTAGCCAGTTTTGCAGAGAGCCAAACTTGCAAGATCATGAATGTAGGCTACTGAGAAGAGAGGTATTTTCAGTGAACATTTCAAAGAGAACTAAAGGGAAGAAAAAAGCTAGCAAAATCACTGCCACAGTGATGGAGAGACTGGCTCTGCAGAGCCAGTTGTACATGTACGCACTGCGGAACATCCACACAAGTACTCATCCCATAGAAAAGTAACAAAAAAGGGCACTGAAGCTTTACCACAGAAGCGTGCCTTTGGTGTACAAGCCTTGCACGCATCCATACTCAGTTTGAATTCTGCAGGTTCCTTGTAACATAACCAGACAAATTAAACTCTCCCTCTCTCCCCCCAGAGGAGCACATTTTAAGCCCTGTTGAATTTAGTATTGTCTAGACCTTGTTTTACACTTACAAAGCCTCCTTTTAATTCTGAGTAATTCAACCCCCTTCTTTTAAGTTACATAGCAAAAAAGCAAACGGTAAAGAAAATAATGTGTTTGTAAAGTTGACAATCCTACAAGATGATTTAGGAGGCTATTAATAACACACAGTTGAGGAAACCCAGGCCACCTAACAGTAGAAGATTTCAAACACAGCTGAAAAAGCTCGTCGGATAACAAATACCATGTCAAGTACGTTTTAGCAGTAAACTTGCACCAGGACAACACCTGTTCATTTAAATGATTGAGCTGTACAACAGATTTTTGATGAACGCTGGAAAGAACTTAATGGATATTTTCGACACTTACTGATCTTCAGATACACTGACTACACGGATGACAATTTAAGGCAACAGCACGCATTTATCCTACTTATAGTTTGGGCAAGATGCAAGAACTAGTGACCTTAACTATTCTTGGAGAAGGAATGAGAAGTGATCATGATCTCCAGGGGAAATATTTTCCTTTTAACAGTTAAATGACCTCCAATCCCTAAGCTAAACAACATGTGATTAGCTAATACCAATACTTCCTTCAACTAGCTAGAAGCCAAGAGGCGTCTCTAACAGAAGAGAATACAAAAGCTAAAAGAATTGAAAGTAGCTTTGTTAACACCTGTAAAAGCTTTAGGAAAAAGATTTATTTACTAGACCAAAGGAATTCCAAAATTATTGCTTAAACTCCTGGAACTGTTAAGTAGCTGAAATGAAGTATTAAATAATTATATACTGCAACAGATAAAAATGACAAAAAGAGGCCAGAATAATTCAGGCTTTATACACCTGGGTATCTCCAGCCATCAAAACGGAAGCAAAGGTAGCAATAAACTTCTGTGTTTGACTTACAACTACAATCTCTCCACTTGTGACCCTAGAATAAGATGCTACTTACAGTATATTAATTTCTCTTGTCTCCTTTTCTATTACTTTACCTTGTCTCCTTTCTTTGCTGTTCTTATGAGCAGTGAAAACAGCAATTCATGACATTTGTTCCACAATAAACACTAAAACGCAGTTAGAGCAAATCATACGCAATGCTTAGCTATTGCATTGTGTTCATATTCTGAAGGTTTTGTTGAAAAACAAGTCATGATTCCTTTGCTCACCTTGCAAAGTAAAAAACTGTCACCCCATCCCTCCCCATAATCCATTCACCCACCAAGAAAAAAGAAATACCCATTGCTAAACTCTTTTAAACTGCAGTAGAGAGGCCCTATTTCATGTCACAGGACAAAACAAAAATTCCTCATTGAACTGCTTTGTGGCACACAAACCTAGAAATCACATTCAGTTCTAGCTGTCAGTATCTTTATATAATGAGGTACATAAAAGAGAATTTGCAGGATACTATCATGTTAGATTAGGAAACTGAAGAGGAAGTTTAGTAATAATGAATGATTAACTGAGCTACAGAAATACAGAAGGAAGGATTATTTCACAGTCCTTGCTGTCAGGAAGTTTTATTTATTATATAATCTCCAAGCATTAAACTGTTTTGCCCATTGGTATTTATGAAAAGCTGTTAGTGGCAGGAGATCATTTAATCTACCATTATTAATGATCCTGTTTTTGCTTGAGTATGGATTAATATATATTATATTACTGATACATATATGAATTATATTAGTAAAATTAATATATTAATATATTGCTACAATTATGCCATATAATGAATGTTATGTAATAAGTAAATTATTAATAAACATTATGTATTGATACATTCTTTTTTTTCTTTCCAAGTTCCATGATATCACGCTAAGTACGCTCAGCCCCTTTGAAAGTTAAGTCCTTACAGTACAATAAAATCATCAGTCTTGCAGAGTCACTGCAGACACAGTTTATGACAGAAGGGCCATTGCAAATGAGGAAGGAAAACACAAAGTATTTTAGGAAGTCCCAAGCAAGTTCTAGCTGTGCTTAGGTTGTTTTAGACTGGCATATTGCAATCCATCCCTCAGTGCTTTAAAACAGGTCCCTTTAAAAATACAGATCAACAGGCACTATCTCAAAATAACGCTTGCATCTACTCAAACAAAAGCAACAGTACCTTTGTGCCGTACTAACTGGCGTAGGTAAGGGTGCATAAAAACACGTTAAAGGTCAAGAAGCTCTGCAATACCGTGGTTTAGAAGATCACGAGCCTGAAGTGACCCCCACAGAGCTGGCCTTAACAGGAGCGCTGAGTAACACGCATGCATCCACCACCTCACGGCAAGACACGAAACACCCGTGCTTCTTCCGCCGCCTCCGGACCACGCCAGGCCGTCGCAGCACCTCCTGCAACGGCGATCCAGCCGGCGGGA